TTTAATATTGATTACAATTAACAGCTGGGAGGAAAGAACACAACCTTTGCAATGAAAAAAGGTGCTAATATTTCAGACATAACTTCCAATAGGACTGAGAGCTGAAAGAAAAGGTTGTCCCTTATGATTAATTAAAATAAAGAAGTGGTAACAAATAGCAGATACCCCAATTGTGCACAAGAATATAACAGACTGAATGACTTTGAGGTTATTTTACACAAAAGTAGGAGATTGTTCAATGATATAAAATATTGTTTTATTGACATAATGTAAAGACACTAAAAGAGCAAAGGCACTAGCCAACAATTAAAATTGTGAGATGGCATTAAAAATGGGGGCAGTGGGAGAATAAAAGGTGATAAGTAGTCTCTGGAAAATAGTTCTGATCAGAAGGATATAACATATCCAATTTAATCTTTTAATCAAATAACCAGAATGAAAAGCAGCATAAAATAAACTTGTTTCCAGATGGATGTTATCTGTGAAAGCAGTTAGAAATGACTGGGTACAACAGTGGATATAGAGAAAAATGTACACACTGAAAGTGGGCTTGCCATGCCTTCAGTGATTCACAAATATGCTCACCAGGATCCTGCATTGCTATTCCTTCCAAAGTTTAGATGTCCACTGGTAGTCCCTTCATCAACAACAGGTATGGTGGGGCACTTGCATGTTGCTGGAAGTGTGGGCATTGCTGGCAAGGCCAACATTTATGTCCCATCCCTGCTTGCTCTTGAAAAGGCGGGATGAATGCCTCCTTGAGTCACTGCAATCCATCTGCAACAGACAAATAGTGCTGTTAGGAAGGGAGTGCCAAGACTTGATCCAGGAAAATGAAGGGGAACAATGATATAGCTCTAAGTCAGGATGGTGTGTAGGTTGGAAGGGAGTTTGGGTGGTGTTCCTGTGTGTCTGCTGCCTTGTCCTTCTAGGTGGTAGAGATTATGGGCTTGAAAGGAGCAGTTCAAGGACCCTTGTTGAATTGCTGCTTTACATCTTGCTGCTAACACTGTGCATCACAGGTGGAGAGTGTGAATGCCTAAGGTGGTGGATGGTGTGCCGATCAAGTAAGTTTCTTTGGATCTTGTGATGATTCATGAGCTGTTGGAGCTACACTCACCCAGGCAGTGGAAAGTACTCCATCAGGCTCCTAACTTGTGCCTTGTAGATGATGGACAAGATTAGAGTAGTCAGGAACTGAGTTGTTTGCTGCAGAATTCCCAGACTCTGATCTGCCGTTATAGCTAAAGTATTTATATGACTGCTGCAGTTCAGTTCATTGTGAATAGTACCCCCAAGATGTTGGTAGTGGGTGGGTGGGGGGATGGGGGAGAAATTCAGTGATGGTAATGCCATTAAATTTCAAGGGGTGATAGTTAGATCCTCTCTTGCTGAATTTGGTCATTGCATGGAACTTGTTTGGCATGAATGTTATTTACCACTTATCATCCCAAGCCTGGATATCATCCAGCTCTTGTTGCAGTTGGATATGGACTGCTTAAGCATCTGAGGAGTCATGAATGATACTGAACATTGTGTAATCATTGGTAAAGCTTCACTTCTGATCTTAACACTACCCTGAGGAACTCCTGCGGCAATGTTCTGGGGCTGAGATGATAGGCCTCCAACAAGTACAACAATTTTCCTTTGCTCTATATATTACGTTAGCCACTGGAGAGCTCCCCCCTGAATCCCATTGATTCCAGTTTTGCTCGAGATCCTTGATGCCACACTTGGTCAATTGCTGCATCAACTCACATCAACTCTGGAATTCAGCCCCTTTGTCCATTTTTGGACCAAGGCTGCAGTGAGGTCTGGAGTCTAGCGGTCCTACTAGAATCAAAACTAAGAATTTTTAGGTTATTGTTGGGTAGGTGCCTCTTGATGACACCATTGGAAAAATCTAGCATAACTTTGCTGATGACTTGGAGGTAGTTGATCAGGTGGCAATTGGCTGTATTGTCCTTTTTTTGTCTCTAAGACATATCTGAGCAGTTTTCCACATTGTTGGGAACATGTCAGTGTTGCCACAGTAAAGGAGCAGGTTTGTAAGGGAGCAGCTGGTTCTGGAACACCAGGCTTCAGTACTGTCACTAAATGTTATCAGGCACATGGCCTTGGAGTTTCCAGAGCCTTCAATCATTTTTAATATCACCCGGGGTAGATCAAATTGGTTGTAGACTGGCATTTGTAATGCTGGGGACCACAGGAAGAGGCTGAGGTGGTTTGTCTACTTGACGATTTTGGCTGAAGGTGATTGATTGACAGTCCTCAAAGAAGTATAGTCACTTGGGCTGCATGGGTTACTGAAAGAAGCAATGGTGGAAATATTTGAGAATCCAGCCACCATCTTCCAATTCTCCTTCAATCTGCTATAGGAAGCATATTGTTAAACTTGAAAGGGTTCAGAAAAGATTTACAAGGAGGTTGCCAGGATTGGAGGGTTTGAGCTACAGGGAGAGGCTGAATAGGCTGGGGCTTTTTTCCCTGAAGTGTCGGAGGCTGAGGGGTGACCTTATAGACATTTATAAAATCATGAGAGGCATAGATAGGGTAAACAGCCAAGGTCTGTTCCCTCGGGTAAGGGAGTTCAAAACTATAGGGCATAGGGTTAAGGTGAGAGGGGAAAGATTTAAAAGGGATCTGATGGGCAACTTTTTCATGCAGAGGGTTGTGTGTGTATGGAATGAGCTGCCAGAGGACGTGGTGGAGGCTGGTACAATTACAACATTTAAAAGGCATCTGGATGGTACATGAATAGGAAATGTTTAGAGGGATATGGGCCAAATGCTGACAAATGGGACAAGATCAGTTTAGGATATCTGACCGGTGCGGATGAGTTAGACCGAGGTGTCTGTTTCCATGCTGTATAACTCTATAACTATCTGGTGGCGGCACCAAAGGATTTGAGGGTTGCAAGTGTTTAGAAAAAGGTGAAGGGAATAAACCTGTCAATAATGGTCAGTCATCTGGTACTAACACATTGGTACTAATGATGTAGGCACAAACAGTGGTGAGGTCATGCAACGGGAGTTCAGGAAGTTAGATAGTAAGTTGAAAAGCAGGAGCTCTAGGGTTGTAATGCTGGGATTACTCCCTGTGCAAGTACCAGTGAGGCTAGGAGTAGGAAGATAGTACAGTTAAGGAAACGGCCAACAAGCTGGTGTAGGAGGGCGGGCTTCAGATATGTGGATCATTGGGATGTCATCCAGGGCAGGTGGCACCTGTTCAAGAAGGACAGGTTGTACCTATACTGGGAATCTACCAATATCCTTGCAGGGCGGTTTGTTTGTGTTACTCGTGAAGGTTTAAACTAGTATGGCAGAGGGATAGGAGCCAGAGCAGTAGGTCAGCAAGTGAAATGACTGAGGAGGAGTTAGCGACTAAGACCAGTAAGGCTGAGAGGAAGAACAGACAGGGAAATGTTACTAAACACGGTGGGACTGGTGATCTGACGTGAATTTGTTGAAATGTGAATATGACAGGTAAAGCAGATGAATTTAGAGCTTATATTAATGCGTATAACAATGATGTTGTAGCTATAACAGAGACATCCTTGAGAGAGGTGCAAGACTGGTAGCTTAACCTTCTGGGATTTAGATGTTTCAGGTGTGATAGAGAGGGATATAAAAGAAGTGGGCGAGTTGCATTACTGTTAAGGGAGAATATCACAGCTGTACTGAGGGAGGACACTTGTGAGGGCTCATCCAGCAATGCCATATGGGTAGAGCTCAGGAATAGGGAGGTGCAATCACTTTGATGGGATTGTACTACAGGCCTCCCAACAGGTAGCAGATGATAGAGGAACAGGTATTTGAACAGATTATGGAAAAATGTAATAACATTAGGGTTGTTGTGGCGGGTGCTTTTAATTTTCCTGTATTGATTAAGACTCACTTAGTGCCAGGGGCTTGGATGGGGGAAGGAATTTGTTCAGTGTATCTAGGAGGGCTTCTTGAAGCAATAAGTAATTAATCCAACTCGGGAAGGGGCCATACTAGACCTAGTATTGGCGAATGAACCCGGCCAAGTGATCGAAGTTTCAGTGGTGGAGCATTTTGGGAACAGTGATCATAATTCTGTAAGTTTTAAGTTACTTATGGATAAGGATAAGAGTAGTTCTTGGGTGAAAGTACTAAATTAGGTGAAGGCTAACTGTGACAATATCAGGCAGGATCAACGGAATAAGGATTGGGGGCTACTGTTTGAGGATAAATCTACATCTGTCCCGTGGGGTTCCTTTAAAGGCCATTTGAATAAAGTTCAAGATCAGCATGTTCCTGTGGAAATGAAAGATAGGGATGGCAACATTTGTGAACCTTGGATGACAAGAGAAATTGTGAGTTTAGTCAAAAAGAAAAAGGAGGTATACGTAAGGATAGGAAACTAAAGACAGACAGGGCAGGGAAAGGAGAATATTAGGAAAGCAGGAAAGAACTTAAAGGAGTTAGGAGTGCTAAAAGGGCCATGAAATGTCCTGGACAAACAGGATTAGAGAAAATCTCAACTGTTTTATCTTGATTTTGCTGGTGGGAAAACGTTTAATGATAATTCAAGACAATATTAGTAAGAATTACACCAGCAAATGTTTAAAGTGCTTTAAATGTGCTGAATATCCTAAGGCTTTTTTAAAAATTCACTCATGGGATGTGGGCATTGCTGGCTGGGCCACTAATTATTGCCTGTCGCTTGTCACCCTTGAGAAGGTGGTGGTGAGCTACTTTCTTCAACTGCTGCTGTCCATTTGGTGTAGGTAGACCTGCAATGACATTCAAGAGGGAGTTTCAATGACACTGAAGGAATGGTGATATATTTCCAAGTCAGATGGATTGTGACTTGGAGGGGAACTTTCATGAGGTGGTGGTGGTGGAGGGAATTCTTGTATACATTGTAAATAGAATGCTTTCCATTGTGTATTTAATGAACCCCATTTTGTACCATGTACTGCCTATTTGTAACAGGGACAGTAGCTAATATACAGCTGTGCCTTGTGATTTCAGGTAATGGGGCTGACCCATGCAAGTTTCAAGCCTGCAATGAATATTCTGAATGCTTAGTGAACCACTGGACCGGAGAGTCTGAATGTATCTGTAATGCTGGGTATACAAGTGTGGACGACTTACCCTGTCAAAGTATTTGTGATGTAGACACTGACTTCTGTCTTAATGATGGCAAATGTGATGTAATTCCAGGCCAAGGAGCAATCTGTAGGTATGTTCCAGTTGACATAGTTAAGTAAACTACCAATTCTTATGTCATATTGAGATAACCTGAACAAGCATGGTATTTAAACTATTCTTGCATTATTTGTTTGGTACAGGATCTGAAAGTCAGATCGGCTATTCTCTGTTTTCACATCTTCCAACAAGTGTATTACTGGTTGTTTCCAGTTCAGATACTCAAATTTTCAGTTGTGTGAATAAATTGCTAAGTACCATTTCCGTTGACTTGATAACTGTATCTTCTAAAAAAATTTGTTGATCTGAACTCAGAAAACTAATGTTATTTCTGGCAACCCAGTAAATGCATTGTTGAAGATTTAGACCCCAAAGTTTAACTCTTCATTAGATATGGGAGTACAACATACCTATCTCCTATTATCAGGAAACTGTTAGTGAAATTTTAATTCAAACAGGCAGTTTGTGAACATTTAATTCTGGTGACTGAAATGAGAAAATAAGAATCAACTATTTTGTCCTTGCATTATTGATAATTGTCTAAAATCTCTTCACACCCAACATGGCATTTAATGACTATAATTAATCAAAGTATGAAAAAAATCAAGTTTGATAGTTCAGTGCTTTGAGAAAATGTCTGAACTCCAACATAGAAAGCATATTAACATCAAAATTTTGCAAAGAGCTGACAAGCTCAACAATAGTCAAGTCTATGTTTGATAGGAGAGAACATCAAAATTCAACACAGATTTGTTCATGGGAGATATGTAGTGATGTTGCTAAGAAATTGCCAGATGAGGCATTGAGGAAGTTAGTGCTGGTAAGGAAGCAGTGTTTCTCTCGAATTGTAACAGAATGCAGCACTTAGTGCAGCACAATTAGGCATTGTCTTGTTGCACATGATATTGTATGGTAGTTTGTGAAAAAAGAATGTAACAGCTGTACATGCCTCCAAGTTCCATAAGAGTTGTGTTGTGGAACATCAAATGAATCTTCAAGCCATACAGCCCCCAGACAGACAAGGAGGTATTTTGCCTTCAAGAAATTATTGCAGGCAATCATAATGGAAGGATTCTGAATTTCCATAAAAGTCCAGTGTTCTGCATTCAGAAAGAGGGCAGTGATCTCCATGGAACAGCTTTTGGGCGGCACTATGCCACAATATAGCCCTGTAAAAGAGGCAATGCAAATGATTTTGAATGCACTGAGTTCCCAGTAATTACAGGAACAGGGTCCATCAGTTAGTTGCAGAAAGAAGTCTTTTGCATCTGTGCTATTTGACAGTTGATAATGCAGCCATTCACCAAGACTACTTCCTAACTAGGAAGAACCATTTAGAAGTATGATACAGCATTCCTACCATTAACACAAGAAAGTTCTTAACACAAAAAGGACAAAGATTGCAACATTATGCAAACAACAATTAAACAATTTAAGAAATTTGTTTTACTTTTTCACAGAGGAATGTGAGGTTGAAGAAACATCAGAAAGACATTACAGGTTCAATGGTACAACTTTGAGGGGAGTACAGGAGTATGTAATATCCATATTATTATAAATAAAAGTGTAGAATATAAAAGCAAAGAAGTGATGCTATACCTCTACAGGTCATTGGTCTAACCACATTTGTGGTATTGTGTTCAGTTCTGGATACCTTATTTAAAGAAGGATATTAAAGCCCTAGAGAAAATGCAATGGACATTTACTAGAAGGTCATCAGGAATGAGGGAGTTCAGATACAAGGAAAGATAGAGAAATTGGGTTATTCTCCTTGGAGCAGACAAGATTAAGAGGTGATTTTGTTGAGGTGTTCAAAATGATGAAGAGTTTTGTCAAGGTAAAGAAGGACGCTGTGTTTCTACCAGTTGGGATGTCAGTAATTAGCGGTCACAATTTCAAGATTGTCAGCAAGAGAGCTAGGACTGAGACGAGGAGAAATGTCTTTACTCAGTGAGTTATTAGGATTTGGAATGTGCTGCCCGGGAGAGTGGTGGAGGCAGATTCCATAGGAGATTTCAACAGAGAGCTGGATATGTACCTGAAAGTGATGAATTTAAGGGGCTCTGGATTTAGGGCTGGAGAATGGAACTAGCTGGATAGCTCTGTCAGGAGCCAGTACAGATATGATGGATGAAATGGCTGCCTTCTGTACTATAAAATTCCACAATTCAGTAATTCTAACATTGTCTTGTAATTTGTTTTTGGTACTTTCTTTGCACATTGCCCAGATAATATATCCATTGTGCAAAAGCTAAACACAGATTGCAAGCTGAGATGTCCTTCCAAGTTCTAAAAGGACTCTATGATGTACAAGTTGGGAATACTGGAAACAATCACAGTCACTGTGGATGAGTGCAGACCTATACTTTCAGTCACAGCAGACAGCCTGAATCCTCACTATTGCAGCTTTATTTTGAAGTTTTCATTGGCGTGCCCACCAAATCCAGGTCAAATATTCCATAAAATTCCCAATTTTCAACTTGACTCATTTCTATGGAGTTATGGAGTTCTGCATGAATTCCACATTAAAAACTTGTAATGCTGTTGGGCCTTTTTTTTCAATGTTGTGCTCTAATGTTTGGTGAAAACACACACTCACTTCCTGAATGGTGATGCATTTAGTGCTAGTTTTCATCTAATATGCAGTCATTCTTGATTAACGTCTACTTTTTAAAGAGAAATTGGAGATGTTGATACACTAGTTTCTGAACAAGAAAGTGATAAATTTCCAATTTTGATTATTGGTTAAGCTTTACTGAATGCCATTAAGTGGAATCATTGTGTTTCCAGGTGTGATTGTAACAATAGAGTACTTATTATTAGCTCAGACTGTGGAAGGTCAGGAATGGATGAGTGAGGTTGAGTGAAAAAATGTCCCGTCAGGAACACTTTCACCTTTCAAAAACAAAACCCTTCTGACTGTTTTTGGTGTTCGCGTCAAACTTCTAGCCACCAACTCCAACCCTCTCCTCGGTAACAGTCTACATGTTTTATTAAAGTAAAAAGAGAAAATGCTGGAGTATTCAGCAGGCATCAGTGGAGAGGGAAACAAAGTTAAAGTTTCAGGTCAAGACCCTTTCATGAGAATAGTGAGAAATTAATGAGGTACAGGTAATAGGTTTTGAGCAAGGTGTGGGTGGAGCAAGGATAAAAGAAAGACTTTGAAAGGGCAGAGGACAGGAGAGACTGAATGTCAGAAGATAGTCTTACATGGCCAAAGGGAATGACGATGGGGCAAGAAAAGTCAGATGAGCCTCATGCAGGAATGGTCCTGTTTGAAAGCAAAATTAGGAGAAATGAAAGGAGAAAAAAAAGGCTAATAAAATTAAACAATTTGGGATTGTGAACAGAAATTGTTGAACTCAGTATTGAATCTGTAAGGCTGTAAAGTGCCTAATCAAAAAATTAATATTTGAAAAATTTGCTTAAGGAACAGCACCAAATTTCTTGATCCTTTTTTGCTTGACTGTCATGAAATGAAAAATAGTGCAGTGCTCTGAGTATTGTAGCTTCACAGGAAAGGATTGATTGTTACAACTCCCAAAACACATATATCTCACACGTAAAGAATTCGACAACAGGGGTTGCAGCTGACAGGCTTGTTGAAGAATCAAGACTGAAGACAACTAAGTAAAGAAATATTCTTAAAAGTCTTATTTGCATGGTCTTCTAGCTTTAGGGATAAGTTTAGTAAGAATTTATTCACAACTGTGTAACTCCTAATGTAGTAAGCTATGAATGCTATCTTTTATGAATGAGGGAACAGAATGGTTTTGTTGTGGCTGTTGTTAGCTTATCCTACCCAAGTAACTGAAACTTATTTTTGTCTGGTTGTCATTTAATTAGTGATGTATTTGTGTATTGCTAATTTTATAGCTTGCAGTTACTTGAATCAATCATGATTTTTGCCCTGGATAGCCCATGTTATTAAGTATGACATTATGTACATGTGCAATTATACAGTTATAATTATAATACAATTATACAGTTTTAATTATACGGTGTTGCTCAAACAATGATTGTGTATTGACAGCAATAGCACACTGTGATGCAAATGTGTCTTAACATATAACCTTTATTTTAGAGGTTAAAAGTGTTAAATACATGTTAAATGGAAAAAAAACCTGATTGAGAAACTGGCAATAACCCTGAAGTAAATGCAATTCAAACAATCTTGGAGTTTATTACACTAAAAACCTTGGTGCCATGTTGACAAAGTTAATACTTAGAAGGATAAGAACATAAACAGCAGGATTGCTTACATAACTAAAGAACTGGAAGCATGAAGTTGCGGTTATTCCAATAAAGGATAAAATGTTCCATAGTTTTCCCAGAGTTAAGGAAAGCTTTGGAATTAAATGGCAGTTCGAGTCGTACAGTCATTGAGATGTACAGCATGGAAACAAACCCTTCGGTCCAACTCATCCATTCTGACCAGATATCCTAAACTGATCTAGTCCTATTTGTTAATTTACATTTTACCAGTGAACTGGCGGTGTGTGTCACATTGCATGGAGATAGGTAGTGGTCAGTCCAGTTCTTTGTTTTAGAGTAAATTTCTGTGAAATCCGTTAGAGCATCGCCAGTTGACAGGACCGGTTGAGGGAAGCAGTTAAGAGACTATGTAAGCATTGGCTCTTTAGTTTATAACTTTTAAGAGTGAAGAGGTAAACCTAGAGTCAAAGCAGAATAGATCATCCGTGACCCAGCCTTTGAATGGGAGTTGGTATAAGACGAAGTTGGAAAGGGGAAAAACAACTAGAAAATTTGTTTCGGAGATAGTAGGAACTGCAGATGCTGGAGAATCCAAGACAACAAGGTGCAGGGCTGGATGAACACAGCAGGCCAAGCAGCATCATAGGAGCAGAGAGGCTGACGTTTCGGGCCTAGACCCTTCATCAGAAAAGGGGGAGGGGAAGGGGGTTCTGAAATAAATAGGGAGAGAGTGGGAGGCGGATAGAAGAGGGATAGAGGAGAGGATAGGTGGAGAGGAAACAAACAGGTCGAAGAGGCGGGGATGGAGCCAGTAAAGGTGAGTGTAGGTAGGGAGTTAGGAAGGGGATAGGTCAGTCCAGGGAGGACGGACAGGTCAAGGGGGCGGGATGAGGTTGGTCGGTAGGAGATGGAGGTGCGGCTTGAGGTGGGAGGAGGGGATAGGTGGGAGGAAGAACAGGTTAGGGAGGCAGGGACGAGCTGGACTGGTTTTGGGATGCGGTGGGGGGAGGGGAGATTTTGAAACTTGTGAAATCCACATTGATACCATTGGGCTGCAGGGTTCCCAAGCGGAATATGAGTTGCTGTTCCTGCAACCTTCGGGTGGCATCGTTGTGGCACTGCAGGAGGCCCAGGATGGACATGTCGTCTGAGGAATGGGAGGGGGAGTTGAAATGGTTCGCGACTGGGAGGTGCAGTTGTTTATTGCGAACCGAGCGTAGGTGTTCTGCAAAGCGGTCCCCGAGCCTCCGCTTGGTTTCCCCGATGTAGAGGAAGCCACACCGGGTACAGCGGATGCAGTATACCACATTGGCAGATGTGCAGGTGAACATCTGCTTGATGTGGAAAGTCTTCTTGGGGCCTGGGATGGGGGTGAGGGAGGAGGTATGGGGGCAGGTGTAGCACTTCCTGCGGTTGCAGGGAAAAGTGCCGGGTGTGGTGGAGCTGGAGGGGAGTGTGGAGCGGACAAGGGAGTCACGGAGAGAGTTGTCCCTCCGGAAAGCAGATAAGGGTGGGGAGGGAAAGATGTCTTTGGTGGTGGGGTCGGATTGCAGATGGTGGAAGTGTCGGAGGATGATGCGTCTCCCTATTTATTTCGGTTCCCCCTTCCCCTCCCCCTCTTCTGATGAAGGGTCTAGGCCCGAAACGTCAGCCTCTCTGCTCCTATGATGCTGCTTGGCCTGCTGTGTTCATCCAGCCCTGCACCTTGTTGCCTTAGAAAATTTGTTTAGCTGGAAGCTACAGAAGTAAATCCGCAGTAATCCTCCGTGGAAGGCAGTTAACCTCTTTACAGTTGGAGTTCTGGAAGTAATCAACTAGGTTGCAGTTTGAAAACAAGGATGTTTTCTGATTTTTAACCTTTGTGCAGGAGCCACAGGGAAGCCTGTTCCTGAGCTACTGAATCCAGAATCATGAGATCAGTACGAAATTGGAAGGTCACCACCAAAATCCCCATTAAATCGTATACCTTGGCAAACAGCTGTAACACTGAAAAGAAGATTAATCCAGAGAGTGTTGATGTTCTATTTGATTTGGTCCCAGGAAAATTGAATGAACCTTGAAGATTTTATGACACAAAGGAAAGCTTAGGGGAAAGTAAAAATGCAATTGAATTTATAGCATGTGTTTTTATAAGCTATAATATTAAGCTAATCATACTTACTTGGCTGAATACTTTCTGATATGTAATTAGCTTAGTTTTGGTTAACAAAATGTGAAATCTTATGGCATGGTTCAGTTGGTTTATTGCTGAGTGGTTTTGGATTTCTTCCTTAAGTGTAAATGGCTTCTCACATGATTATAACAATGAGCTCTGAAGTTCCCTCCCTCAACATCTTTACCTCTCTCCTTCCCCTTTAAGTTTTTTCCTGAAACCCTACCTCTTTGATTAAACTTTTATCCTAATATCACTTTATGTAGCTTAATGTGAAATTTCTTCTGTGAAGCCACATTGGAACATTTTGTTACATTAAAATCACTATATAAGTAAAGTTGTAGTTGTTACTGACTTTGAAAATTTGAGAGAAGTGATTTAAAATCAATAAAAATTTAATTCAGTGATGCAGGTGATTCTGTTTTGATTGTTAAGTCAGCTCTCTTAAGGCCCATTTGGTGCAAAGGTAGTGCCCCTGTCTCTGAGCCAGGAAGCCTGGGTTCCAGTCCCAGCTGTTCCATAGATAGGTAATAGCCTCTCTGAACACGTTGATTAGAAAATATCTAAGTCATCTCTTATGTTGACAGGGAGGTGACCTCAGAAGCCTCAGTGATCTCACTGTATTTGATAAAGGATCTACACCAAGATATTAACTTATTTTTCACCCTTCTAGATGTTGAATAGCCTGCTGTGTAATTCAAATTATTTCTATTCTTATTTCAAACTTCTGGCTTGGAAGTTTATCATCCTTTTATTCTAAAACAAAGGTGGTCTGACGTTGAGCTAAACTAATAATACATCTTTTTACTGATAATAAAAGAAAAATACTGTAGATGACAGAAATCTGAAATTGAGACAGGAGATGCTAGAATTGCTCAGCAGGTCTGGCAGCATCCATAAAGAGAAAAGCAGAGTTAATGTTTTGAGATCAATGTAGCTCTTCTTCAGAATCTCTGTCAAATCACTGTAATGTCTGATAATGTGGGAATATTATCCATATACAGAAAATATCACAAAACGGTTAATTGCAGTTGTAAACATGAAACAATCTTATCTCTGCCTGCTAGGTTGGCTGGCAGGCAGTTATAATTGTTCCATAGGATTCACCAGCTGATATCACGCGGGCTATAATTTTAACCTGTTCTTCTGAGTAAGCAAGTGGACACTGGCCAAGACCACATGCAAAAAAGCAGAACATATTCCATCAATGTCATTAGTTCTAGACTTTTGTTTTAATCAAAAATGGTGAGAAAATGTGAGAAAAATGGTGGATTTTCTGTCAGCCGAACCTAGAGGGAGGAGGAGTCAAGACCAGAATGTGTATTTAAGGAATTTGGAAAGGAAAAGCCAGGGAACAATAGACCAGTGAGCCTGACATCTCTGGTGGGCAAGTTGTTGGAGGGAATCCTGAGGGACAGGATTTACATGTATTTGGAAAGGCAAGGACTGATTAAGCTTAGTCAACATGGCTTTGTGCATGGGAAATCATGTCTCAATAACTTGATTGAGTTTTTTGAAGAAATAACAGAGGATTGATAAGGGCAGAGTGGTGGATGTGATCTACGTGAACTTCAGCAAGGTGTTTGACAACATTTCTCATGATAGACTGGTTAGCAAGGTTAGATCACACGGAATAGAGGGAGAACTAGCTATTTGTATACAGAACTGGCTTGAAGGTAGAAGACAGAGGATGGTGGTGGAGAGTTGGTTTTTAGACTGGAGGCATGTGACCAACAGTGTGCCACAAGGATCAGTGCTGGGTCCACTGCTTTTCATCATTTATATAAATGATCTGGACGTGAACATAGGAGGTATGGTTAGTAAGTTTGTTGATGATACCAAAATTGGAGGTGTAGTGGATGGTGAAGAAGGCTATCTCAGAGTAAAACAGGATCTTGACCAGATGGGCCAATGAGCCGAGGAGTGGCAGATGGAGTTTAAGTTCGATAAATGTGAGGTGCTGCATTTTGGAAAGGCAAATCAGGAGTGTTGCTGAACAAAGAGACCTTGGAGTGCACGTTCACAGTTCCTTGAAAGTGGAGTCCCAGGTAGATAGGATAGGGAAGGCGGCATTTGGTATGCTTGCCTTTATTGGTCAGTGCATTGAGCATGGGAGTTGGGAGGTCATGTTGTGCCTGTTCAGGACATTAGTTAGGCCACTTTTGGAATACTGCGTGTACTTCTAGTCTCCCTGCTATAGGAAGGATATTGTGAAACTTGAAAGGGTTCAGAAAAGATTGACAAGGATGTTACCAGCTTTGGAGGGTTTGAGCTATAGGGAGAGACTGAATAGATTGGGGCTATTTTCCCTGGAGGGTCGTAGGCTGAGGGGTTTATAGAAGTTTATAAAATCATGAGGGGCATAGATAGGGTAAATCAACAAGGTCTTTGCCCCGGGTTGGGGGGTTCCAAACCTAGAGGGCATAGGTTTAAGATGAGAGGAGAGATATTTAACAGAGACCTAAGGGGCAACTTTTTCACACAGAGGGTGGTGTGCATATGGAATGAGCTGCCAGAGGAAGTGGTGGAGGCTGGTACAATTACAACATTTCAAAGGCAGCTGGATGGGTATATGAATAGGAAGGGTTTAGAAGTTTATGAGCCAAGTGCTGGCAAATGGGACTATATTTATTTAAAATATCTGGTCGGTATGGACGAGTTGGACTGAAGGGTCTGTTTCCGTGCTGTATATCTTTATAACTTTACCAAATACTGTGAATAAACCTAAATTGAAGACTGGTCGACTCCTCCTTTGTCTTTTACCAGATGCATGTTTACCAGATTAACACTCACTCCCCAAAACCCAAATTCCCATTCATGAACCTCTCTGGAAACATCCACCACTCAATATATTTAAATGTTGGGGATTATTTCTTAGCACTGGTCTCATATCAATATGTTTCCTCCTAGTGACTTGCTGGATGTGGGCAGAAACTTAACTGAGGCTGTAGAAATGTGGCTGCCAATTTAGAATGTTCTGCTTTCTGGGCTGTTAAAGGACAAAATTCCATTTGCCTCAGCAAATGCCTTCTGGATTGCTCTTAACATAGGAGATAAAGATTTTAGCCTATACCACGAGAATGTCTATTGTACCCGAACAATAAATTGTCAGTAGTTAAATCTGGAAGTAAGAACGTATTATTTTCCTCCTGGCAGGTGTCGTGTGGGTGAGAATTGGTGGTACAGAGGAGAGCATTGTGAGGAGTATGTCTCTGAAACTCTTGTAGTGGCTATTGCCTTTGCTTCAGTGGCTGGTGTCCTTTTGGTAGCTTCTGCTGTGATTTTCTGCATAGCCAGAACTCTCCGTGCTCAGTATGCCAAAGGTGCCTCTCAAGAATCTACAGAGTGAGTAACAGAATAAACAGATGTATTAAAAACAAACAGAAAGAATGCTCCTTACTCCTCAAAGCTGGGCCCAACAGAGACCTGGCTCAAAGAAGGGCAGGACCTGGAGTTAAATATTCCTGCATCCAAGGTGTCCAGGAAAGATAGAAAATAAAGGAGACAAGGAGGCGTGGAGGTATTGATTAACGATAACGTTGTAGTGCTGGAGAAAGAGGATAATCCAGAGGGGTTGAGGTCAGATTCTGTTTGGCCACACCAAAAAGGACCTAAGAGGGTGAAACTAATTTGCCTGATGTAGTCATCAACCAATGGGAAGGATGTAGATGAACCAATGGAAATTATAGAGAGATGCAGAAGATCTAGATTAATTAAAATGGTGGACTTTAATTATCCAAATTAAGACTGGGATAGTGATGGCATAAGGAACAAGGTGGTGTGGGTATGGGTAAGGGTGTGTGTGTGCAAGTGGGGTTGGGGGATAGCAAGAGTTCCAACCCCACAGAAAAATTTGATTTCAATTTAAAAGAAATCTGGAATTAAAAATCCATGAAACCATGGTCAATTGTTGGCAAAACCATCTGGCTCACTAATGTCCTTCAGGGAAGGAAATCTGCCATCCTCACCACTACATCTTTAGGTTCTCTGGCAACAATGTTTCAGTAGCCAAAGTACTTTTAATTAATCACTTCATTTTCCTAGCTTCCCAGGCCAATGGATAGTAGTTATTTTATCCCATCAGTGAAAATGGCACAAAGGGAAATGCCCATTTGGAGACCCTGTGCAGACATGATGGGCTGAGTGGCTTCTATCTGTGCTGTAACAATGCTGTGGTTCTGTAAATATCCTGCAGCTGGCTATTTAACCTGGTTTAACCCTTTGGGACTGGCTACCAACTCCCTCATGCCACTGACCAGACCTGCCAGCACAGAATCTGAACTATTTCTCACAATCAGTGAGCTGCCAGCAGAGAGCCTGCTGAGGACCCACTTGGTGTATATAGAAAATTCACCCCCTAGTTTCTTCTTGAGAAGCAGGTTATCTGGTTTAACTGGTCCATACTCAATGTAAGCCCTCTCCAACCTTCCTTACATTAACTTTTTAAACTAATCTTCCAATCCCTTCTATTCCCTCATATAGGTATCTAACTTCCAGTTAAATGCATCTGAGTTATTCATGTTAACTGCTTCTTGTGACATCTAGTTCCACATTTTAATTACTGTTTGGATAAAAAAAGTTTTCCTGAATTCCCTGTTTATTTGTGTTGTATACTTACAACTAGTAGTTTTAGTTTCCACCTTTCTCCATCAAATAGCGTCATAGAGTTATGCAGCACAGAAACAGACCCTTCGGTCAAAAACATCTGTGCAAACCAGATATTCTAAACTGATCTAGTCCCATTTGTCAGCATTTGGCTCGTATCCCTCCAAACCCTTCCTGTTCATGTAGCTGTCCAGATATCTTTTAAAAGTTGTGATTGTACCAGCCTCCACCACTTCCTCATTCCTTACATGCATCACCTTCTGCATGAAAAAATTATCCCTCTGCGCCCTTTTAGGTCTTTCACCTCTCAGCTTACACCTCTAGTTTCAGACTCTCCTGCCTGGAAAAAGACCTTGATTATTCACCCTATTCGTGCCCTGCGTGATTTTATAAATCTCTATAAGGTCACCCCTCAGCCTCCGACGCTCCAGGAAAATATCCCAGTCTATTCAGCCTCTCTCCATAGCTCAAACCCTCCAACTCTGGCAACACCCTTGCAAATCTTTTCTGAATACTTTCAAGTTTACAACATCTTTCCTATAGCAGGAAAGATGGAAATATTTTCTCTACCTTTACCTTCTGAAACTCTTTCATAATCTTAAATGCCTGTATCAGGCTACCCTTTAGTCTTATCATTTCTCAGGAAAAGAGTCCAGCTTGTTCATTTCTTATGACAGGATTTTACAGCTTTATTTTCTTTGTGGTTTATTTCTAGTGTGCTAACATGAATAATATTTTGTTGAATGTTCTCTAATATGGCCTAAATGTATTTCTTGTCTTTTGTTTTTTGACAAAAATGTTTAGCATGCAAAATGTATTTGTACTCTTAAGTACGACTTATATTCCTGTGCCTTATGCTAGAATATTGACAAAAGCATGCTCCAATCCTTCCCTAGACAAAGTAATAGCCTGGAATCAGTGGAAAATGGGACAAAATATAATCCTATGTATGAAAGCGATGCCACAACTAGCTACAGTCACTACAATAAACGTTATCCACAGCTAGCCTCATACAGCTCAGGCAGTGCAGAGGCATCTGCCAACTTCAGCAGTGATGAGATCCGACACATCTATGAGCACAGTGAACTTAGCAAAGAGGTAGGTTTGCTGTAGGATGTGGAAAATTGAGAACCATCTGTTGTTTAACAGTTGCATATTTCACATTTCAGTCACTGCAGACTTTAGTCCTGAGACTTCAAAAGAACAAAAGAGAAGTATGGCACAAGAACAGGCCCTTCGGCCCTCCAAGCCTGTGCCAATCATCATGCTCTGACTAAAGTGCAAAAACAAACCTTCTGCCCTTATTCAGTCCGTATCCCTCTATTCCTTCCCTATTCAAGTAACCATCCAGATGCCTCTTAAACGTGCCTGCTTCATTTTATGTCAGCTGCTGCATTAGCTCCCTTTCGGAGCAACACCTTGGAGAAAGCATAGTGGGGGACCATACTGCTCGTGTCTTAGAAGGTGTTGATGACCAGCTGACAAACCTCGCCCCTCAGCCAGAACTCACTGTGGGTGGACTAAATTTGTGCAGAGTGGGTGGGGGTTGAGGTTCCTAACCTTTGGAGCTGCTGGCCATTCATCTTCTAGCCAATCTGAATGATCTCCGGCACTAACAGAGACTGCCAGGATCACAAGCATTCCCAGCAAGAAGGCCCTAACGGATCTTAGGCCCATGTAACTGGACTCATTCAGCAAGGACAGTTCTAGCAACTTAGGAAGTTAGGCAAGGTTGGTGAAGGAGTGTTTTAAACTCCATGCAGAGAGAATTGAGTTGGAGGAAGATTCCATATTCTGAGAGGGTGCTCTGCTGTTCAGTAGTCACCCTTCCCCTTTAAAAACTGCAAACCCCCCCCTCTCCTGCCTGCCCATGCCAACTGCCTTATGGCATGGACGAAGTATTATTGGGGTCAAATGAGCTGCGAGCAAGCCGAATTGATCCTTGATGATTTATTTTCATATGGTATGCAGGCTGCCAATTTTAGTGCCTAACAAACCCCACCCACTCCACCCCTCTATCCTCCACCATTATGGGGTCAGCTAAGAGATGGGTGGGGAGGTGGAGGGCTGAGCACCCATCCTAATTTACGTGAACCATACCAATAATATGCTTTGGTGAGGGCATGTTCAGTCCCCTTGGTAGTGAATGCTTATCGTCATTTTCAATCCTTTCGTGTTTTGCTTCTGCCAATCCTTATAATCTCCAGCCCAACAATTCTCCAAGACAGCTGTACTGCTTCAATCTTGACTTCTTCGGCCATCCCAGATTTTAGTCTGTTTTAAATAACCATGCCTTCAACTTGGGCTTTTACTACAATATTGTAATTGTGTAGAGATTGCAATGAGTGATAACTAAACAATGGAATGCCACTTTCTGTAGTTAAGATATAAGTTATCTACAAAAAGTAATAGTGTTTACTCAACAGTGTTTTTTTTAGTCACTTATAGCTTAGTTGGCTGGATGGCTGGTTTGCAATGTAGAATAAAGCCAACAGAATGGGTTCAGTTCCAGTACAGGATGAGGTTCCCACAAAGAACTCTCTCTTTGCCTGAGACATGGTGATCCTCAGGTTAAACCATCACTGCTTGTCTCTCTCTAATAAGAGAGTAGCCCTGGTACAACTTTGGCAATGTTTCCTTTACAGTAAAAACTTTAAAACTCAAATATTGCTGAGACTTTCTTTCATGTTTTATTTTCTATCTAAAACTTATCAATCTTTACAATGATCATAACAGGCAATAATCAAGTTTCAATAGATTGGATGAGAACATCTTTATTCATATATATTATGAATCCCCAATTTAGGTAATTTAATTCTAACCTGCAGTGACAGTTAAGTCACAGAGTTATTTGCTATTTATTTTGATATCTTTGTCTGTAACCATAATAATGTTAAAGAAACGTGAGGTTTTTTTGCAAGTTTCAATAATTTAACTGTAATCCTGTATCTATTTTGTAAAACATTATACAGCTGCTTTAGGATCTATAATTTTACAAATATTAGGCCGGTGTAAGTTATAGATTTTGAATATCATTTTTTATAATTGAGTTCTTCAACAAAATAAAGAGCAGAGCAAATTAGGTAAAGTTTTATTTTTCTGTATTCAGGTTAGATTACATTTTTTCAGGCTTTAGTCCAAATATTTTTCATAGTCAATTAGTTACAGTTGGATGTCAAGTGAGCATTATATAATTTTGATGCTTATTCTTTTTGGAATCAACCAGTCTTTCAGAATTTATTTTAACCATGAGAATTAAAATACAGCCAAAACATATGATAAATACAACAATCCAAAAGCTCCTCTAATATGTGTGCCCATTTGTAGCAGTGCATTGGGAGATGATTACATAATTGATTACGTAACTGTATTTTTGGTGGTATTTCAGGAAATTCAAGACAGACTACGGATAATAGATCTCTACGCTAAAGATCGGCAGTTCGCAGACTTTATGCGACAACATCAGATGTAAGTCATGTAGATGTTGACTATGCTCCAATATTCTGAAGGAGATAGCTGAGGAGTTTGTAGATGCATTAGAGGTGATCTTTCAGACATCTCTGGAGTCCAGTGAAGGTCCCAGAGGTCTGGAAAATGTCTAATGTAATGCCCCTGTTTAAGAAGGGAGAGAGGCAGAAGAATGGAAGTTATAGACCAATTAGCCTGACCTCGATCATTGGTAAGATTTTAGAGTCCATCATTTAGGATGAGATTATAGAGTACTTGGAAATGCATGGTAAAATAGGACTGAGTCAGCATGGCTTCATCAAGAGCAGGCCATGCCTGACGAATCTGTTGAATTCTTTTTAAGAAGGTAATGAGCAAGTTAGATAAAGGACAGACAGTGGACGTGATCTATTTGGATATCCAGAAGGCCTTTGACAAGTTATAACGCAGGAGGCAGCTAAATAAAATATGAACCCATAGTGTTAGGGGCGTGGAACTAGCATGGATAGGGGATTGGCTGACTGGCAGAAGGCAGAAAGTGGGAATAAGGGAGTTTTTTTCAGGGTGGCAGCCTCCGATTAATGGAGTGCCGCAGGGGTCAGTGTTGGGACTACTACTATTCACATTGTACATTAACGATCTGGAGGAAGGAACTGACAGCATTGTTGCTAAGTTTACAGGTAACACAAAACTATGTGGAGAGACAGGTAATGTTGAGGAAGCATGCAGACTAAAGAAGAACTTGGACAAGCTAGGAGAGTGGGTGAAGAAGCGGCAGATAGAGTACAATGTGGGAAAATGTGAGGTTACGCACTTTCATAAGAGGAGGCGCACACTATCTTACATGATGTGAACGTTCATGAGATTATTGTTAAACAATAATTAAATCTTATGAAATTTAATTTCCAAGAAAAACAGTAGAGTTGTTCAAGGTAAAAACATTATATATTAATTTTTGAATGGTGGCAGATTACTCTAATACTTTGGAAAAAATCCAATTGATTGTGAGTTGTGCATGAATAGTCAGCATGGCTAAACAACTGTACATATAACTCTTTCTTGTTTGATTGACATTTTTGCTTAATTCTTTCTTCACTAGATGTAGAGATAATACCAAAACAAATCCTACAAATTAATATTTCAGTAGAAGTAGAAGACAACCCTAAAATGGTAAGAATTCCAGTTTTTATTAATATAAATATTTTATTAACACAGTTGTGCTGATATTTCCCATGGAAAATAATGCCCAGATTTTTGTCCATGAGCCACATGTGTAGAGTTGGAAAAAATCCTGCCTTGGCAGAGCCAAAAATTGTGACCCAAAGATCAGATTTCTGGTCTGGTGGTGGGGGTGAGATTATACTGGAACTTGGACTCAATAACTCTAGAATGAAGATGGAGGTGGACTGAGTAGAAGGGCTGCCTTATTGCATCAGCACATTGATTCAGAAAATATTACAGAAAACATCCCTCCAGCCCTCACCCTTCACACTCCCTCATTCACAACACCTCACTTTCAATTCCCCATCCATGCAATTCCATGCTACACTATGCCCTGTACACCCTCCGTGACAATCTAAATCCCTGTAGCTATCACCATGGCCCTTTGGACCCTCCATGCCAACCTGCACACCTCTTCTGACACTCATGGCCCTTTATTTCCCCATGCCAACCTATTTCCTTTTACCTATCCCTGTGCTTTCTATAATAATTTGTATACTTATGCCAAGTTAGTGCCAACATATGCATCCTCACTCACCACCTATTAACCTAACATGCCAATGCACCTAGTATTTTGGTGACCCTATGCCCAAGTCATATCCATCTTTAACTTTCCACCCCTGCTATCATAAATCCAGCTTCTGTTTAGCCTTTTTACAACTTGTGGAGCCGTGTCAATACCACTGCTGGTTAGACACCCATCTGAACTTTCAGTTGGGGGACAGGTCGTGGGTACAGCATTCCATAAAATCCAACTTTGTGATGACATCTCAAAAGTACCTAATTAGCTGTATAATGCTTTGGAACATTTTGAAATTGAAGAAAATACTGCACGAATCTAAGTCTTACCTTTCGACTTCACCGTGCCTACCTGCTCACAACGTGGACTTGTCAGAAGTACTTTTCTTTCAGCCAATATTAGCACAGACTTAGAGTTCACTTCTCAATCTGTTCCACAAAAGATTTGTTGTGAAGAGGACTTAAGTATCCCACAAAGGGATACAGATAGGTTAAGTGTCTGGGCAAAGATCTGGCAAATAGAGTACAATGCGGAAAGAATAAAAAGGAAACATATTATCTGAATGATAAGAGGTTGCAGAGCTCTGAGATACGGACAGATCTGGGTGTCTTAGTGCATGAATCTCAGAATGTTAGTCTGTTCGTACAGCAAGTAATCAGGAAAGTTAATGCAATGTCATGGCTTATTGTGAAAGGAATTGAATGCAAGGATCAGAAGGTTGTGCTTCAGTTATAGAAGGCATTGTTGAGACCACATCTGGAGTACTGTGTACAGATATGGTCACCGTATGTATGGAAAGGTTTTAACATGTTGGAAGCAGTTTACAGAAGGTTCACTAGACTAATAACCTGTAATGAGTGATTGCCCTATGAGGAAAAGCTGGACAGGATGGGTCTGCATCCTAGAAGAGTCTAGAAGAGTCAAGGTGACTCAATTGAAACATATAAGATCCTGAGAGGACTTGACTGTGTGGATGTGGAAAGGATGTTTCCTCTTGTAGGATAATCCAATACTAGAGGAAGTAATTTTAAAAATAAGGTGGCACCCATTTAAAACAGAGGTGAGGAAACTCTTTTTCTATCTCAGAGGGCTGTGTGTCTTTGGAATTTCCTTCTTCAAAAGGCAGTGGATGCAGAATCTTTAAATATTTTTAAGGAAGAGTTAGACAGATTCTGAGTACCAAGGAGCAGGCGGGGTTGGGGGGAATGTTGTTTGTGGTTGAAACATTACTGGTGGTATGTAGAATTGTAGAGTTGAGGTTAAAATCAGATCAGCCATGGTTTTATTGAGTGGCAGGGCAGGCTCAAGGGGCCGAATGAGGAAAGACTCAAGGGACTCTTGTCACTTGTTTGTAAGTTTTGCACTAATTCAGCACTTTAGTATCTAAATCCAATCTATAACATTTTAGGTTGTGAAAGTTTCAGTTGCTCTGTTTTTCTCTAAAGTATTCACAGAAGAACCTATTCCTGAAACACAGTACTTGATTAAATTGCATTTCATTGTTGGCAAAGTGACAGCTGTGTCTTTTTCTTACAGATTGTTCAATTCTTCTATCAATCGTACCGTTAACAAGTGAGAGACAAACATGGGTGTTCGGGCACTCAGGTGTCCGTTGTTACTATGGTAACAGGAATAACAGTGAAACTTTCAATCAAATTGTCATGCAGTTCTGTCATTTTATTAACTTTCCAAATTAATCAAGTGGTGCAACAGGAATGTATTATATTTTCATCAGCTGCATGGGAAATGGAGGCTGAATGTAAGGAAATAATCATTTTACTGATATTTAGAGGCAGCAGGATTCCATGCATGGTTTAGGTATTCAAGTTGTGGGGTGGGAAGAATTTGTAGTGTATTAAATTAAGTAGACTTGAAACAAGATTCTGAATGGTTAGGCTGAACTGTAAGAACAGTAATTGTAGTTTTACTCGTTGGACAGTGATCAGAAATGGGAACCTGCTTGACCACTCCAGAGCTTAGCGCTATGAAAGCTAACCCCACCCTGAGACCAATTAACTCGATTTAAAGTGTGATCAACCCTAGGATCTTTTGGGCTTGACACTGTCAAAGTCTGAGGTTTAGAGGGATAATCAAATTTGAAATCCTTCCATTAACCATGAGCATGCCATTTTGGATACTTTTTTTTATTACCATTGTGTTGAACAGCAAGAAAAGTACTTCTAAATTTGAGAAAATATGAAGTTTCAGAAAGTTGCTGTATGTAATAGAATTTTCTTTCACTCCTGTTGTTTAAGTACTGGTCTAAGTTTAATAACCAATAACTATGTAGGACGCTTTATACATTTTGATAATGTAACTTAATATCTGTGGGTATTATGTGTAGTTATAAAGCACTTGCATTGTATCACATTTATAATTCATTTTGTGCACACATCTTGAATATACAATATCCTAACTGTGTTTATTTTTAACAAAAGTTAATAATGGGCAAACTAGGATAAATACTTGTAGCGAATTAATGCAATTTATTGCCTTGCTTTTTAAAATCAAGATGAGAAGCAGTATGGACAACATCATCAGGGGCAGAGTCTCTTGAGCTAGACTGGAAGTTTTACATTAAAGGCTTTTCTCCCCTCCATGCTTGAAAGTGTCTAGAAAACTGCTACAAATTAATCCAGTATTTGAAGTATGTGTGCAGCTGCTCAGAATATTAATTCGCAAGCACATGAATGCATACACTTAAATAGAGGAGTAGCAGAAGATTGAATTGATGGAACGTAATATAGTTCACTAAAGTACTCGAATAGAAATCATTTGCTTGCATTACAAGTTAGTACTAGCTTTATGTTAAATCTTACGTATGTGACTTAGTGGATAATTTACGTATTATAGATAACAATAGAAAATATCATGCTACATAATTTTACTTGATTGGACAGAAAAAGGCGAGATTTATATATACTATATCGTTCTAAGAAATTTATTGTTTCTAAATTTTTACTTTTGCATCTAATAAATCGATTACAGCCATTCAGTACCAAGACAAGTCATTGCACACTACATAAGTTATATAAAGTTAAATAATTTTTACTTTTTAAAATACTTCATGCTTTACATCAGTACATAGGCCAAACCCTTGTGTTCACTGACAACAGTAACAACTTGTATTTATGTAGTGTCTTTAATGTAATAACCTGGCCCAAGGTACTTCACAGGATCACATTCAAAGAAAATTTGACGCCAAACCACATAAGGAATGTTTAGGACCGATGACCAAAAGCCTGGTCTTCAAGGTAGGCTATAAGAAACATTTTAATGGAAAATACAGAGGGTTAGGAAGAGAGTTTGAGCATAGACCCTTGGAAGCAGATGAGACAGCCACCAATAGTGAAACAAGTAAAATCAGAGATATAGTTTACTTACAATAGTCAAGTGGATCCCATTTTCTAATTACATTCTGACAGGGATCTTAAAAGAATGCTTTTGTAAGAATATTAACTACTACATCAGAATTTACTACCCCACTAAAGAAAATAAAGATTTTCTGGGTCTTTAAAGTATTTTTGGAAATGGTAAAATGATATGTTTTACAAACATATTTTACTACGGTTGTATGAGAACACTGTATCAATACAATCTGCAGATTTCACAGGATGTTTTTGTCCATGGCAAGACCAGCTATTATTGCCCATCTTTAATTTCTCTTCAGTAGGTGATGGTGAACCACTCTATCGACAACTGATTCACTTAACAAGTCCATTACAAAGGGATGTTAAAGTCAATAACGACAGAGTCAGATGTAGGCTAGACTGGCAACAATGACAGATTTCCTTCCTTAGTGAGCCAGATTTTTATGACAGCACAGACATTAATTGGCCACCATTACGATGCTAGCTTTGTATTCCAGATTCATTTAAGTACTGAACTTAAATTCCCCAATAGCCAGGGTGGATTGGAAGTGATGTCTCCAATCATGAGTTCACGTCTCTGGATTACTAGTTCAAGAACATAATCACTGGTCCAACATTCTCATTTCCAACTGTTCCAAGGACATTTAAATGTAGTAATACAATACATTAGGACTGAGGTTTTGGAGTAGATCTGTAGCTGGGGTTGTGGGTGTTGAGGTTGGTTGGCTCACCGAGCTGTTTTGTTGTTCCGTAGACGTTTCGTTACCGTGCTGGGTAACATCCTCAGTGCAGCCTCCGATGAAGCGTCGGTGTGTTTTCCCGCCTGGCTTTTAAACTCTGGGGTCCGTTGCGATGGGTTGCCTCACTTCGGGTTTCCTCCGTAGTGGAATGTATATGAACATTGAACTCGACCCCATATACATTCCACTATGGAGGAAACCCGGAAGTGAGGCAACTCATCGCAACGGACCCCAGAGTTTAAAAGCCAGGCGGGAAAACACACCGACGCTTCATCGGAGGCTGCACTGAGGATGTTACCCAGCAC